GCAAAAATTGAAAACATTTGCTTGGTATTGCTGCTAAAGAAGCCACTTTTGTCAACAATAGTATAAGATTGGCAGATGAAAACTAGTATTACAATAGATAGCCTCAGTTTGGACAAATCTCTAAAAGTAGCCCATTTAATCAGGAATTAGAATAAGAAAAAAAAGGAAGATGAAGGAATACATGCTTTTTACTCGCTAGCAACACAGGGGCAAGAGATACTGTATTTCATAGCTTTATACTACTTATCAGGAAACATATCATAACTGTTAGAGCAGTATGGCAATGGAACCAATTACCTTGGGAGGTAGTGAACATTCCAGGAGAAAATTGGATAATCAGCTCTCAGATCTGCTTTGATTTGGATTCCTGCATTGAGCAGGAGGTTGGACCCCATGGCCTTATAGGCCCCTTCCAACTCAATTATTCTGATTCTATGTTACTGCTAGAAATCAGCCAAGGTAATGTGCTTTGTGGGCACAGGAGAGAGATGTTTGACAGCAAATATTGAAAACATTTGCTTCGTATTGCTGCTAAAGAAGCCACTTTTGTCAACAATAGTATAAGATTGGCAGATGAAAACTAGTATTACAATAGATAGCCTCAGTTTGGACAAATCTCTAAAAGTAGCCCATTTAATCAGGAATTAGAATAAGAAAAAAAAGGAAGATGAAGGAATACATGCTTTTTACTCGCTAGCAACACAGGGGTAAGAGATACTGTATTTCATAGCTTTATACTATATTTTTATGTTTTAATAATTATATTTTAAATGTATATTTTTTTAAGAAATAGAATCTCTTTTTGCAACATAACTGTGGCTAAGACAGTTAGCAGAAAATTTTTACTGCCTTAAATGTATGCTTTTTTTCTAAAATACAAGCTTGCTTAATAAAAGACAATATATTAGTATGCTTCATGTGTACCTTTTTAATACTATTAAATAGGAAATAAAGTTCTATAAAGAATATTCAGAATTACTTTCAAAGATGCAATAGATTATCTGGGTTCTTTACAACTTAATCCCTGAAAAGGGGGATGCCAGGCATGGCTTATCTGCACAGGCTTTTCCAAACCCTTGGGTTCCATTCTACTCCAGTTTAGGGCCTGAAGAAGATGTTAACTGTCAGACCTTGACTTGACAAAATGGTGTGCCTGCAATGATATACAATCTATATTTGCCATTGCTTAATGGCAGGTTGCACTTCACCTGTTAAGACATTTTACTGCTAGAAATCAGCCAAGGTAATGTGCTTTGTGGGCACAGGAGAGAGATGTTTGACAGCAAATATTGAAAACATTTGCTTCGTATTGCTGCTAAAGAAGCCACTTTTGTCAACAATAGTATAAGATTGGCAGATGAAAACTAGTATTACAATAGATAGCCTCAGTTTGGACAAATCTCTAAAAGTAGCCCATTTAATCAGGAATTAGAATAAGAAAAAAAAGGAAGATGAAGGAATACATGCTTTTTACTCGCTAGCAACACAGGGGTAAGAGATACTGTATTTCATAGCTTTATACTATATTCGAGCCGTTCTTAAGTCAAGACCCCACTGTATATTTTTATGTTTTAAAAATTATATATTAAATGTATATGTTTTTTACGAAATAGAATCTCTTTTTGTAACATAACTGTGGCTAAGACAGTTACCAGAAAATTTTTACTGCCTTAAATGTATGATATTTTTCAAAAATACGAGCTTGCTTAATAAAAGACAATATATTAGTATGCTTCATGTGTACCTTTTTAATACTATTAAATAGGAAATAAAGTTCTATAAAGAATATTCAGAATTACTTTCAAAGATGCAATAGATTATCTGGGTTCTTTACAACTTAATCCCTGAAAAGGGGGATGCCAGGCATGGCTTATCTGCACAGGCTTTTCCAAACCTTTGGGTTCCATTCTACTCCAGTTTAGGGCCTGAAGAAGATGTTAACTGTCAGACCTTGACTTGACAAAATGGTGTGCCTGCAATGATATACAATCTATATTTGCCATTGCTTAATGGCAGGTTGCACTTCACCTGTTAAGACATTATAATCAACTCTTCAACGATGGCCAGGATCCAAAGAACTACATTATGCCTGCCCAAGGATGTGGGTATTTTCAACAGAATTGTTCTTGCTCTTCTGTCTTTTAACAGCAGATCTCTCTGCCATATCAAAATTCCATTTTGAAAAGACCTGCTTTGAAAGCAACTTATGATGTAACACAGAGCGCTTGTGTTAGGGAAATATAAAGCAGAAAAAACAGCTGTTCAGCTCTTTGGATCCCAGCCAGTATCTTTAATAAGGTTATCTCTGGCTGCCACTACTTTTTAAAAGCTTTTAATATTGAAGGCTTATTTCATTTTACTTAATAAGGACCATAGCAAATCATAACACCCTGCATTGTGACTGAAAATCTTAAAAATCTAAAATGAGAAATAAACTGTTTCACTGACCTTCAAGAATTACAACACATTTATCCAATTTATGAAAAGATTAGTGATGTTGTTAAGATATAAACACTGAGCACACCAACAGGATCGGTTTAACCCCAGATTCCCTTGTGTTCCATTTCCATTTTTAGATTATGGGAAGACATCCAATAGTTTATACCCACTTTTTTAAAAAGCTAAAATCCAAATACTACTATTAAATATTCTATCTGACTGCATGCAATATTTTTATAATTTGGGATTGTATGTAATTGCTCTTAAATGGGGCTTCAGTACACAAACATCTAAATCAGCTCCTCCTTTCTCCCAGCTCCTGTGGGTTGGCCCTCACTTGAGACACTGTAGCATTCACCGTTATTATGAAGTAGTCCTGGAAGACATCTGTATTCCTTAAGGATAGAGAGAGAGAGAGAGAAGAGGGGAGGTGTTCATCATAAGGCCATATTTTACTCTTCTTTGCTGAGACAAGGAGGGGGGCCTTTCCCTACATTTTCTCTTTTTTTTCCTCTGTATGAGCTGGAGTCTCACTGTAAAGCAAAATTAGGACTTCAGTTATTACTAAAGAGCTTCAATAAAACACTTTTCTATAGTATTTGCATTCTGCATATGCTGTAGAGCTAGTGTCCTTCAATCCAAAAGAAAATCGGGATAAATTTCTAGCATGACTATTCACAGTGAACCAACAGCTTTATGAGAAACATTTGAAAGGTGCAGCTTTAGATTAAGGAATTCAAATACAGTAATGTGATGAATGCCCACATCACTCCTGTCACTCAGAGCTGGAGCTCATTTGCATGAGCCTATGAGGGGATTGGAGGGGCGGGATCATTCAGTCAGTCAGTGAGTTAGAGAAAGAGAGTGTGAGGTGTGAAGGAGAGAGGTTGAAGAGTAAAGAGAGATAGATAGAGAAATAGAGAGAACTGATATTAATAAAGACAACCTGGTTAAAGTGAATAAATAAAGCAAATGGTGATTGAGTCTTCGACAAAATATACAAGGTTTCAATGATTTGGATTCTATGCAATGATTAAAACACCTGTGATTCAGATTCAACCCAATATATTTTAATAAACAAGTGTTGTTGGCAGCAAGTGTCTGATTAAAGTCTTTTACAGTGTGGATAGGGGAAATCCACTGGTGGCAGCGAAGGACAGAGAGAACGTTGCCAGAGTGAACCCTTGGTTAGGGGGAAACAAGCAGTGGGCACTGAGTGAACATCACAAGTAGTATACATATACTTTAGTTCTCTGTCCCAAATTTTCTTTCTATTTCATTGGGATATTCTTTCAGAAGAGACAGAAGATAATTTGTGTTGTTCTCTGTTAAAAAGTTGGGGCAGAAGTCCTATTTTCTTTTCAAAACTTCATTTAACAACTTCAGCAATGTTGTTGATATGACCTTCTGGGCTGACCTGCATGGTAGATTCTGTACACCAGGGGTCATCAACCCCCAGCCCGCGGCCTGGCGCCGGTC